TGAAATGTTATAAAGCATAATCTGATCAGGGAGATAGGTAAGTAAAGGGAGATAGATAAGTAAATGGATAATTCAAGGAAAGTGTGATAAATTTCAGGTGTTGTATAGCCACTGGATGTTTGTGGGAATGTAAGTAGAGAGACTTTTTCATAAATTGAAGTAAGAGTATGAATAGGAGAAATGACAAAGATTAAAATTTGAAAGTTCAGTAGAAATAATCTAGATATTGAGTGGAAGGGCACTTGCACCATAAATGAGAAATTGGAAGAGCAGAAGGTTTCATAGTATTTTAGATTTTTGAGAGTTAATTTTAGATAGATAGATAGATAGATAGATAGATAGATAGATAGAATAGATAGATAGATAGAAGAGAACTCAATTCTCTATAGAGAATGGCAATAGGAGGTAAAGCTAAAGGTGAAAGATGATTCAGAAAATAAAAAGGGATTTTTTTATTTCACTTTTTTTTTTCTCTTCCCCATTCAAATACACCTCCCTTACTTTTGCCCCCAATCCCTCCTTTCCCCACCCCCCCCCCCCATAGAGTTGTCTCTGGTTCATAGTTGTTTGTTGATTTTGATTTTTACTTTCTTATACTTATTCATTTTCCTGGGTCCCTTATTTAAGTTTTCTTGATTCCTGCTATGAGTGAGACCATCCGGTATTTTTCTTTTTCTTTCTGGCTTATTTTGCTGAGCATGATCCCTTCCAGCTCCATCCATGTTGCTGCAAATTGCATGTGTTTATCTTTTTTGAATGCTGAGTAATATTCCATGGTTATATGTACCAGGTCTTCTTGATCCAGTCATCTATTTTGGGCATTTGGTTGTTTCCAAACTTAGCTATTATAAATAGTGCTGCTATAAACATAGGTGTGCAGGTGCTCTTTGGAATTGATGTTTCTGTGTCCTTTGGGTAATACCTAGGAGTGGAATTGCTGTATCATATGGAAGCTCTATGTTTAGTAGGTCCAGAAATCTCCACACAGCTCTCCATAGTGGTTGGACCAGTTTGCACTCCCACCAACAGTGCAGGAGAGTTCCTTTTTCTCCACAACCTCGCCAACATTGTGGTTGCTATTTTTTTTTTTTTTTTATATGTGCCATTCTCACTGGTGTGAGATGGCATCTCATTGTAGTTTTGATTTGCATTTCCCTGATGACAAGTGATGTTGAACATTTTTTCATATGCCTGTTGGCCAAAATCCCTATAGAGAGGGATTTTGAATTTAAACTTCATGATCCATTGCAGAATCTTTCCTCTAAGAAGAAATAATCCACTGAGGAATAGGAAGTGACCTAAACAAATATATGTTTTGAAAGATTTTCTGGTTAGTATATAGAATTATGTTATCCTAATCCAGTTAATTTAGTAATAAAGTGGAAGGTTTATAGATTTCACCAGGGTGTGGAAAAGAATGTAAACTACCACAGGCCAACAGATGGAAAAGAGTAAAGTTGAGTTGCTTTATTGTTTTTTAATTACTCTGGATATATTATTGTTTTGGCAGTGTTCACTTAGAAACAAAAGGAGGTAGGAAAACAATAAGGGCAGGGAATATATATATATATATATATATAAAACTGTTGGTAGCACAGTGTTCAGTAAATTAGCACCAGGTTGGTACTGTCACATAATTTGCTGGTAGGAGCACAGCAGAGCAGCTTGTAGGAACAGATGAACCAGGGCACAAATAAAGCAATGAACATAAATCAGTGAAACTTAATTTAGCATTGGACATCTAGATGCGGTCAGAAAGCTGATCGTTATTACCATACTGTCATGCACAGAAGAACAGAGGAGACTCAAAAAAATATTTGTTTATGGTAATTATAAACTCAAAAAGAAACATGACTAGCATTACCCTACCCACACTTAGTCCATCTTTGTCTAGAAAACATTTAGCTTTTCATTATGAGTAGTCAAAGATACCTTACATAGAACATTTGGACATTAGGTTACCTTAACATACTCTTAAGTATTATGTTTTCCTAAAACAGAGGCAAATTTAGTTACACCCCCGTATTCTGTTCATTAAAATGTCTCATTGATGAATAAATCTGATGATTCAATATTTGGTTTGGTTTTATTTAAAACACAGGTTTAAATATATCATCCATTAAATTTAAGGGCTAATATTACTAATGATGAGTAAGATCTTGAATGTGGCAGTAATTATACCCAGGACTAATGTCTTTTACTATTATATTGCTAATTTCACTTTAATCTACCTATCTCACATTAAATCCTAGTTTTTATTTTTCACTAAAAAGCTTTTCTTGGCCTCCATGGTGGCACAAGGGGTTAAGCTCTGCACTATGAAGCGATCCGCAGCCTCTGCAGCTCGAGTTCGATCCCCGGCCAGCCAGGGAGCAACCCACATGGCGAAGCAGACCTTTCCTGTCTCGGCCCGCTGCTTCCTTCAGCAGTGTGTTTCAGTCAGTCTGCCTGTTCTATTCCCCACTCTGTCTTTGATGAATCCTCTCACCCTCCCGCATCTGTGGCCTGTACCCCAGCTCTTGTATGCATAAATAAATATTTTTTTTTTTAAAAAAGGCTTTTCTTGACTGCTGAAAAATTTGCACACATATTTCTTTATGTGATCAGAGAGAAAAATTATGAATATAATGTATTTGTTTATACTTATGTCATTGTTCATTTTGTACAATGTATGCTTTCTCAGGTGTAGTGGCTGTTAAATTCCCCACCCCAACTTACCCATGCAACATCATCATAGTCCCTTTTGCTCTTCCCAACCCTATTTGATCCCTCTCCCTCCCCATCCCCTGCAGAATGTCTCTGCTTTATAGTTGCCTGGCAATTTTTTTTCATTATTTATTATCATTATTTTTTTCCTGATCCCTCATTTGGTTCCCTAGATTCCCCTTATAAGCAAAACCATCTGATATATTTTTTTTCTTTTGCCTTCTGACTTACTTCAATGACCATAATCCCTTCCAGTCCATCCACATTGCTGGAATGGCATGAGTGTATTTTTTCGATTGCTGAATAATATTCTGTTGTGTATATATATCACCTATTTTTTTTAAGGTTTTTTTTTAAAGATTTATTTATTTATTTATACAAGCACTGGGTACAGTCAGAAGCGCGGGGGTGGTGAGAGAATTCACCAGAGCCAGAGCAGGGAGCAGAGCAGGCAGAAGGACCGAAATACACTGCTGAGGGGAGCAGCGGGCGGCAGGGGAGGTCTGTGCGCCATGTGGGACCCTCCTTCGGTGGCCGGGGAGCAGCCCGGGATCAAACTGGTGCTACAGAGGCTGCGGGCAGCCTCGCACTCAGCGCTCAACCGCAGCGCCACCGGGGAGGCCCCATATACCACCTATTCTTGATCCAGTCTATTTTTGGGCATTTGGCTTGTTTCCATATCTTGCCTATTGTAAATAGTAAATGCAGTTAATGTAGGGGTGCAGGTGTTCTTTGAATTAATGTTTTTGTGTTCGTTGGGTAGATTCCTAGGAGTGGAATTGTTGGGTCATATGGTAGATCCATTTTAGTAGTTTGAGAAACCTCCACACAGCTCTCCATAGTGGTTGAACCAGTTTGCACTCCCACCAGCAGTGTAGGATAGTTCCTTTTTCTCCACATCCTCACCAACATTTGTTGTTGCTAGATTTTTGTTTGTTTTTTTTTTTAATGTGTGTTTTCTCACTGGTATAAGGTGGTATCTCATTCTGGTTTTCATTTGCATTGCCCTGATTATAAGTGATGTTGAATTTTCTAATCCACCTGTTGGCCATTTGCATTTCCTCTTTTGAGAAGTGTCTTTAGTTCTGGATTGTTTACTTTGTTTTGTTGCATTGTATGAGCTCTTTGTAGATCTTTGTGATCATCCCTTATCATCTGTATGGAGTGCAAAATTTTTTCTCCCAACAGTAGGGTGTAGCTTTGTTTTGGTTAATATCTCTTTTGCTGTACAGAAGCTTTTAATTTGATGTAATCCCAACTGTTTATCTTCTCCTTCACTTTCTTTGCTTGGGGGATGAGTCTTTACAGATGTTACTGAGATATGTGTCATGTAGTTATTTATCTATATTTCTTCTGTATATAAATATATTTTTAATGAATATTCCTGACCATGAGAAAAGGAAGGGGGGTTAGGTTAAAAACCTGAAATAACTTACTTACATGTAGTATACTCAACCTTT